ACCAAGAGCTTGTAACACTCCAAAGAGAAAGGAAAAATTTAAGTCCCCTTTAATAATGACTCAAACTGCATAGCAATAATTCATAATAATAAATAATACATTAATAATATAATTAATTATCTGAGAAGTCATAATAAATTATTATCAGTAGAAATAAAAAGCAAAAAGAATATTTTTGTACAAAATCATTAATTAAATTTTTTTTATTGTATTTAATATCTTGAAATGTCTTGGGGTTTCACCATCCATTTTAAAACCTGACCTATTCTGTGTTATACATGGTTCAAATGTTATGATATTTGTAAAAGATGAGGGTCTTAATTGTTTATCACACAACATTTCTAGATTTTTCTTGACCTTAATTTGGCAACAAAGGTCTTTTTTGTTGTTGTTGTTGTTAAAGCTACACTATCTATTTTTTTGAAAATAACAATACCAGCTTACTCCAGGCTACTTTATAAAGCAGTAATAAAAAATAAAAAAATCAGAAAATGAAAAATGTTTATTATAGTTAATTGAGTCATTTGAAGTCAGTTGAGTTCTGTGTCTTTATGAAGTGTATTTTTAATTTTTTTGGAATAACTGAATGTGTGTCTCAGGCGACGCTGCAGTTCTGTGTGGTGAAGCCGCTGATGGCCATGATGACCGTCATCCTGCAGGCCTTCGGGAAATACAGAGACGGAGACTTCAAGTGTGTCTGTTCAGCTCACTAATCAAACACACAGATATCACTGAGTGTTTTATGAGAGACTGATAAACCGCATCTCTCTCTCTGTCTGTCTGTGTTTCAGTGCGGCCAGCGGTTATATATACGTGACCATCATCTATAACATCTCGGTCAGTCTCTCGCTCTACGCTCTCTTCCTCTTCTACTTCGCCGCTCGTGATCTGCTGGAGCCGTACGGCCCCATGCTGAAGTTCCTCATGGTCAAATCCGTCATCTTCCTCTCCTTCTGGCAGGGTGAGTCTTCATCACGTCATCCTTCATCTGATAATCTGCATATTCTCTGACCTGACATTTGATTTTCCCAAATAAATAAATGTTAAAGAACATGTCAATATAACAGTTATTTTTAGGTGATGACAGAAAAGACAGATTTCCTTTTTGTTTTGTTGGAATGTTGTTGTTGTTGAACTTCATATTATTGTTAAATAATGAATCTAATCCTATAATAAATCTGTTTTGTAACATGCATTACAGTATTAATTATATCTGTATTGGATTGTAGACATTAGAAAGGCTTGGGCGATGCACTGAAGTGCCAGTAAAGCACTGTGTCATTTTGCATGCTGTAGGGATGCTGTTGGCGATTCTGGAGAAATGCGGCGCGATTCCTCGCATAAACTCTCCTGATGTCAGCGTGGGGGAGGGGACTGTTGCCGCCGGTTACCAAAACTTCATCATCTGCATCGAGATGTTCTTCGCCGCTCTGGCGCTCAGACACGCGTTCACTTACAAGGTCTACATGGACAAGAGACTCGACATTCAGGGTAACTGCGTTTGATACTGTTTTCATGATTAGTTAAGACCAGATTCTGATTCACACACTCGATTCTGATTCTTTTGGGTATATTTCAGTTTCACACTTGCGAGATGCTTTCACTTTTCACTGCCGTGGAGTCGAGAGCCTGTGACAGAGACATATTTCAGTGAAATCTTCAATGTTTAACTGATCTTTCTCTTTTTCTTCCTCTCTATCATGTCATCCCTCATTCCTGGGTGTGTTTCCATTCTCAAATATTCATTTCAATGTGGATGTGCTGTCATTTTGTCTGTTTCGCCTGTGTTTCCCTGTATTTTGTGTCCATCTCTGTCTCTCTCAGGTTGTGTTCCTGTCTATGGCCAGTACGGTAGGTTTACTCGATCTTACTCGTTTACTCGAAGAAAAGGTCTTCATTTAATGCATAATTCACTTTAAAGGGGTCATATGATGCGATTTCAAGTTTTCCTT